ATCTGGGTCAGCTGCTAGTCCGGCCAATTTACTTAGACTTAACAGTGTCTACAAAACAAAACGTACGACTACTCAGTCAGTCAGGGACATAAACATATAACTGAGGTGTTATACTGACAAATTCGATAATGTTCTTAAGCAATCTTCTACACAATACATAATATTAATAATTTTATTAATATATAATTAAACACTTACCTGTCCAGAAGAAAATTAAACTTTAGATTACATGATTAAAAAGCATGATAGCATCTAAATGAAAAGTCCATCTTTCTTTCAGTTTATAATTATTAAACACTCTTGTTTATTCAATAAAAAAAGGAGGAGGATCAAAAGAGAAGTATTCCTGACTTAATAAGATACATGTACCAACTAAATGTTTTATTAACCACAAAACCTACACCAGTCAAAATATAAATGAAGTGTTTTACTCACAAATTTGATAATATACAGGTAACTCTTGATGGCTCGAACTTCGATCTCTCGAAGTTCTTGATCGCTCGAAGTGAGTCCCCGGTCCCGAATTTTTTCCCTATATAACTAAGCAAATTTACTCTTGAATTCTTGAACTATTGATCTCTCGATACCCTTGATCTCTCGAAGTAAAATTTCAGTCCCTCTATGCATATTCTATTGAAATTCACCCTTGATACCTCGAAGTGGCTTTGTGTATACAAAGTTACATAATTAGCAACTTTACCTGGACATTTAATGACCGCATGCAGAAGACGCGGGTCTCGTGAAACGGGATGTTTATTTAGGTGACACTTATTCTGCAAGGTGATAATTGATTTATAATTTATTAATCTCATGGTGCCTATATGCTATCAAAATAATTATCATCGTCTGTATTACAATAATTCAGAAACGTAGTGTCGATGAGAAATTGTAATTGCAGATTACGAGACGAAACAATTAATGAATTAATTTTCTAATTTCGAATCGTCTCAAAGTTTAGCGAAATATGAAAATTCAGAAACAGCCTCGCTGTGCATATGACGACTTTTTTTGGACAAATACATACAGAATTTCGTTCAATGCACATGTTTGGAAAAGTCTCAATGCTATGTTCCACGCGCTACGCTGGTCTATGCCGTTTTCATATAACGAATGAGTAGAATGATATCCGTATGATAAAAAACAAATTAAAAAACACGAACTGACGATGTACATTTTTTTGCTTTACTCAGTTTAATAAATATTCACTTTCAATTCGAAAACATATCGTTGTTTTGTAAAACCCACGTGTAAAAGGTAAGAACTGCATGAAATCATTACATCTGGTATGACTATATTTAAAACCTGTCAAAAACCCGGAAAAATCCGGACTCTTGAAAACTCGAACTCTTGATCTCTCGAAGTTTTTCCTCGGTCCCGCGACTTCGAGGTTTCGAGAGTTACCTGTACATGTACATGTAAAAATAAAAAGATCAAACAACATTTGTCTTCAGCAATCTTCTAAACAATACATTCACATTTAATTGTTACAGTACCTGTCCAAAGAAAATTAAACTAGTTAACATTGTCTTCAAGTTTATAAAGCATGATAGCATCTACAAATGACAAGTCCATCTTCCTTTCATTATTTATTATCATTGTTTATTATAAGCACATTGTTGTTAATTGAAGAGGTAGGGAAAACATTTCCTTTTTTCATAAGAGAACAGGTTTTAATGAGTAATAAGATATCAAATAAATGAATTATTATCAACAAAACCTGACCTTTTTCTTTGCCAGAGAGCCCTGCTCCATTTTGCCCAACTCTAAAAGAGTGGTGTGGGCCTGAAAATAAAAAAAATAATTGATCAAACTTTCAATAAACACAAAATGACATACTGATGCACTGTTAGGGCAAAACATTGCTAAGATTTAACCCCTAGGTCATATGAGGTAAAAACAAATATTGGATACTCCGTAAAATCTGCTGAAAAACCAACCTATCTAATGATTTGGCAAAGGTTACAATTTGTTTATGCTTTTAAGCAGGGCAAATTCCAGGATTAATTTAATGGATTCAAAGGGGTTTCTTTGAATTCAAAGGTAATTGGATGTCCAGATGTGATTTACCTTAGAGAAGTTGTTGGTCTGTATATTATGGAGCCAGCTTAGAGATTTAATGTCCTCCTTTTGTAGAAATCTACCCAGTTCTCTCTGTTGACTGATTGGTAGAGCCAGGAGCTTTCCTCTCTTACCTGAACATACAAACATTAACAAATCATACACGTGAAATTTTATAAATATCAAATATGTATAAATAACTTCTTACATGTTCAGGTTTTATATTTATTCGTTAGGATTATGCTACCTACCTTCTTTCATGTACCATGTGTATAGTAAATTTGCAAAACCCTGAAAAATAGAAAATTTGATTTTCAAGTTGTAATTTTATGAATGAAGGTTTTACTTACCACCTAGAAAATATACATAAGGATTTATCTCCCTTTACCACAGTCAACTCGCATTTAAATAAGCGCTTTACTGACTCAGATTAGTCCTAAACACGCTTACTTCCTCTTCCTCTAATCAGTTTTATCTGCGACAAACATGTCACAATAACTGCGGGGAGGAAGGGAGGGTAGTACTAGGTGGTAAGTAAAACCTTCATTCATAAAATTACAACTTGAAAATCAAATTTTCAATTTCATTTCATTCGGTTTTACTTACCACCTAGAAAATATACATAAGGATGATTTCAAAGCCTTACCTAAATATAGGCTGGTGGGAATCTTTAATCTTTATAAATGTTCTCGTCACTTCATAAACTATAGACATGAAACTTCATTCTCCTAACAACTATGTACAAACATTAATATATATATATACAAAACAACACACATTGTCAAATTTACAGATATTGCAACTCGCAGAAAAAAATAAACTTTACTGTTTTAATACTGCTACGTCTACATCTTTCAAATAATATTTTGTGAATGTAGACTGATTTCCAATCTGCAGAGTTTAAAATAGAAGACATGCTAGCTCCATTAAAAAGTGCCCATGAGGGGCCAACAGAACGTGTTGAATGACCTTTCACCTCAATATTTTCTTCATAAGCCATTTTGATGGTATTGACTAGCCATCTTGATATTGTCTGTGTTGAAACAGATTTATGAGGACTATTTAATGATAGAAACAACTTGGTTTCATCCTTATCCTTCAAAACTCGTCTAAAGTTTTCTGTTCTTTTCAAATAAAAGGCTAATGCTATTTTAGGATCTAACTTTTTATTTTCTGAAAAAGATGGTACAAAAATCTTGGCACCAAAATGATTTGTTTGATCTTGTTTTGACAGTCTTTGTCTCACAAACGTCACACCTCTGTTTGTTACGGTCACAGCTCCCTCGCCTAACTTCAGGGCTTGGATGTCTGAGCACCCTCGAAATGTCGTAATGGCTACAAGAAAAACCGTTTTGTAAGTCAGATGTTTTAAAGAAGCCAATTTTAATGGTTCAAAAGGTTCTTTTTGAAGCATAACAAGTACTTTGTGTAAATCCCAGTCGGGTACAACACTAACTCTTGGAGGTCTAGAATTGAAAACGCCTTTAAGAAGACGAATAATGTATGGATGCTGTCCAACAGGTACATTGTCAATAGGTGTCAAAACAGAAGATAGCATAGACCTGTAACCAGCAATAGTTCTATATTGTAGACCCTCTTTATACAATTCTGTCAAAAATTCTGCACAATCTACTAAAGATACTGAATAGGGATCTTTATTCCGTTTATCACACCAACTATTGAACTTTCTGAATTTACAATTGTAGTCAATTTGAGTTCCTTTTCTCCATGATGCTGATAAAAGCTTTCTAGTTTCTTTTGAAAAGCCTTTCTTTTTGAAATTTCTGTTGATAGAAGCCATGCCGTCAGATTGAAAATCTTTGGATCTGGGTGATAAATGTTTGACCTTGGTTGAACTAAGAGATCTTCCCTTACTGGAAGTCTTATTGGTATGTCTATCAGCATTTGTAATAGATCTGTGTACCGATGCCTCCTAGGCCACTGTGGCGCAATGAGAATTACTTGACACTGAAAATGTTTCATGTGTGACAGAATTTTCGGTATGAGACATATTGGAGGGTATGCATATGCTATCATCCTCTCCCACGATATTGACAATGCATCTATTGCTAAAGCTTTCTGATCTGGAATCCAAGAGCAGTAAACTGGAGTCTTGTGATTCCATTTCGAAGCAAATAGATCTATCATTGGTTTCTCCCAAACACTGAAAATCTGATTCAGTACCTGATTGTTCAGAGACCATTCTGTGTGCTGAATCTTTACCCTGGACAGGTGATCCGCTATTGAATTCAAATGGCCTGCTAGATGAGCAGCTTTCAATAGGATGTTGTTTTGAATTGCCAATTTCCACAACTTCCAAACTCTTAGACAAAGGGCTGGTGATTTTGTTCCCCCCATTTTGTTTATGAATTGCACTACTGTGGTATTGTCGCACCGAATAAGAACTTTCTGATTTTTCAGATAAGGAAGAAAATACACAATTGACTTGTATACTGCTTCTAATTCTAGGTGATTGATATGGAGAGACTTCTCGTTCTCTGTCCATATCCCCTAATAAAATTTCTTCTCTATGAACCCCCCGAACCCCGAGTTCGAAGCATCTGTTGTGAGGGTAATAGTTGCCTCCCATGGTTGAAGAGATCTGCCCTTTAAAGTGTTTACTCTCTTTAACCACCATTTCAAATGTTCTACAAGGTGTTGAGTAATGGGTACCTGATATTCTAGGTTTCTGGATGATGGTTTCCAGAAATGTAACAAATGCAACTGAATTGGTCTCATGAACAGTCTGGCATAAGGAATCAGTTCCAGACAAGAGGCCATTAACCCCAATACTCTCAGAAAAGTCTGTGCTGATGACATTTGATTCTCTGAAAGTATTAAGGTTTGAACTGTTAACTCTAAATTCTGAACTCTCTCTAGGGTTGGAAATACTAAACCCTGATCTAGTCTGAATAAACTCCCCAGGTACACTATTTTCTGACTGGGTATCAATTGATATTTCTTTCTGTTGATTATGAAACCTAGGTGTAACAACAACTTGAGCACTTTCTCTCGATCCATCAATAAATTTTCGCGAGATGAATTGACTATTAGCCAGTTGTCTAGATAAGACACTAGTCTGATATTTTGTACCCGAAGGTAGGCAGCTACTGTTGCTACTATTTTTGTAAATACCCTTGGAGCTTGGGTTGGACCAAAACATAGAGCTTTGAATTGGTAAGCTTTTTCTTGAACACAAAACCAAAGATACTTGCGATGGCTTGGATGCATTGGTACATGTAGATATTAAGCATCTTTTAGATCGAGAGAAAATGCCCAATCGTTCTTGTTTACCAAATTGATTACTTTTATCAATGTGTCCATTTTGAAATGCTTTTTCACCATATACCTGTTCAGAGGTCTTAGATTTATAATTGGTCTCAATTCCCCCGATTTTTTGGTTACTAGGAAAAATGTACTGTAAAAACGGTTCTGCATTTCCATGCAAGGAACAGGCTCTATCGCACCTTTTTCCGACAATTTTTGAACCTCTTCTAATATAAGAGCATTTGCATTTGTTTTGCGTACACCTGTTTGAATTGGGGAATTGAGAAATTCTAATTTTAGACCCTCTTTCAGAGTTTGTAAAACCCATTTGTCATCTGTTATTTTTTCCCATTGATGATAAAAATTTTGAAGACGACCTCCTACAGGTATTTGGGGACACATTAACATTGTTTCCGAGTCATTGATTTGATTTAAAGTTGCGAAAAGAACTCACTTTATAATTCTTCCCCCTTGATCCTCTGCTCGACTGGCCATATCTGTATCCTGCTGCAGCTCCGTAACTGTAATCTGCTGTAGAGGAAGTTCTTTGCCTTTTAGGTTGAGCTTCTGAATAAGTGAAGCTTTTCCTTTTGTAATTGGTTTGTTGAGTAGTGTTCCTATTGTTAGTAGACTTAGACTTAAAATCTGGTAACACTTCAGCCAGTTGTTTATTTCTTTCTGTTTTCGCTTTCAGTCTGTCATCAAACTTATTTCCAAGAACTCCATCTCCAGTCAGAGGAAGTGAAAGAATAGTGGACGCATAGTCTTTATATTCACTAAGCCCTGAATCAAACATGGTGGCTTTGCGTCTTATTATTTGATTTGATTTAAAGTTGCGAAAAGAACTCACTTTATAATTCTTCCCCCTTGATCCTCTGCTCGACTGGCCATATCTGTATCCTGCTGCAGCTCCGTAACTGTAATCTGCTGTAGAGGAAGTTCTTTGCCTTTTAGGTTGAGCTTCTGAATAAGTGAAGCTTTTCCTTTTGTAATTGGTTTGTTGAGTAGTGTTCCTATTGTTAGTAGACTTAGACTTAAAATCTGGTAACACTTCAGCCAGTTGTTTATTTCTTTCTGTTTTCGCTTTCAGTCTGTCATCAAACTTATTTCCAAGAACTCCATCTCCAGTCAGAGGAAGTGAAAGAATAGTGGACGCATAGTCTTTATATTCACTAAGCCCTGAATCAAACATGGTGGCTTTGCGTCTTATTATATGATGATAGGCTCCTGCCCTACAGATTTGATCAAGTGTTTTTGTTGACATAGCAAAAATGTCTCTAACAGTTTGAATAGCTCTATCCATATTAGGTTCTTTATCTTGAAGCGCATCCAAAAGGAAACCCAATGCTTGTTGAGTATAACAGTTGGAAATAATAGCCATTCTTGAAGCTACTTGTCCTTGGTAACCCAATTTCTCCACTGCTCTGAGAGATTTGGTATACAGTCCTGGTGAATTGCCAAAAGCCCCCTTCTGTCCATATTTTTTAATGAGTAATGATTCTACTGAGTCATCCAAAGAAGGTACATTTAATATGTCCTTACTATCTTTACTTACTGGAAAAAGTGTCTTGTAACTTTCCTTGTATGATGACAATTTAGAAGGATTTTCTGATCTCCAAGATTTATTGATAATTTCCTTCTGGCTAACATCCAGACACAGTCCAACGTCTGTGTTATCTGTAGATGAAGCATCAGCACCGAAAATTTCAGTAAGTTTACTTACATTGTTTTCTTTATTTTCTGTTGTTTTTGCATTAGGCCTAGAAGTGTACTTTGTAAAACGTTCTTTTTCCTCACACAAAACTTCATCCTGGGCCTCCGATCTGCGAGAGTGACTTTGATAAGTCTCATGACGACTTTCTTGATCTAAATCATCTGGAGAATTAAGTAGTGTTCTTCTTTCTTCCCTGCTAACATGAATTGACATGGTGTCGGGGTCTGATACATGAGGCGCATCCGAAATGCCCTCTTGTGTATCATAAAAAAGTAGGCCCGCTGAAACGGCCGAATTTTCTCTGTTTCTCTGACGGTCCGCCTCAGTAGCGTCCATAGAAACTAAATTATGGGGTTCAGTAGTGTTTTGAACATTGTCATTGTCCGTACGGTTCATTAAAAACTGGAAAATTTGATCAATTTTATTATCAATTTGCCCCATTTGTTCTTCCTGACTTGCCAGCCTCGCCTCAAAATCCTCGAATTCTTTTCGGCTGGTCGTTTTCTTCTTTTTACCAGACCTTGTCTTGGGTGTATTAGAACATATTTCATCATTTTCTTCCATCATAGAGCCACGATGGTAAAAGATTTTAAAGATTACAAAAACGATGTCGACTGTTTGGCGCAGAAAAATAAACTGATTAGAGGAAGAGGAAGTAAGCGTGTTTAGGACTAATCTGAGTCAGTAAAGCGCTTATTTAAATGCGAGTTGACTGTGGTAAAGGGAGATAAATCCTTATGTATATTTTCTAGGTGGTAAGTAAAACCGAATGAAATGAAAATAAATATTTTAATTTATTATTTTCAATAATTGTTACCATTCTTCATTATATCTAAAACTCTTTACTCTCAAACTCCATTAAAATAAATTGAAAATTATTTTTATTAATTGCATGAAACATCTGTCTGTGCAGATAGAAAAGGTGTACCTTGCGAGAGAAATGATGTAGATATTTCTTTATCCTGTCTATTTATAGACATACTGTAAACCAACTTATTCGCGCAAGAGAAATTTTCTCGAGATTCGCTAAAGCTTTGTCATCGTGAATATATCTCGTCACGAACAGGTCCTTAAAGTTTTTTTTTTTTAATTAAAAACAGTTCCGAAAACGGTTTGATCGCGAAAATTTATTGTTGCGAACTAGTTTACTCCTGGTAAATGGAGAAAAAAGTTGTCGCGAAAAAAAATTGTTTACAGTACCTTGTCAGAGAACTGATGTAGATATTTCTCTATCCCGTCTATTTATAGACATACCTTGTCAGAGAACTAATGTAGATATTTCTCTATCTGTCTATTTATAGACATACCTTGTCAGAGAGCTGTTGTAGATGAAGGATATGGAAATAACGAACAGTATTCAATCTCAACGTCCATTAAACAAATATACAAAATAAGAGCAGAGCAAACACGGACCTCCGAAACATCAGAGGTGGGATCAGGTGCCATGGAGGAGTGAGCATCCCCTGCCGACCGGTCACACCCGCCGTGTGCTCGTTGTCATAATCAGGAAATAACGGAAAAAATCTGTCGTCATGCAATTCAGTGTATAAATAATGGACTAACAATTGGTATGAAAAACGTCAGTCAGCATTTCATTCAATGATAAATTGTATTTGCTGACAAGGTCATTGTATCGACCATAGAATTTACGAAATGATGACTTTAAACGAGACTATTGATATTCTTGTTTCATCAACTTGCTTGTCAATAATTTACCTCGTTTAAGAAACTGTTCATACGTAGAGCATGCTCTTGCGTATCGAATCAACTGAGATATAAATACTCCGTATGCAGGTGATGAAGGTATATTGCTGCATAAGTAAGGGAAGTTGACGATAGAAAAGTTAAAGTCATCACGTTTATCATATAGCTTGGTTGTTAGATTACCATTAGTGTCTTTTTCAAGTAAAATATCCAAGTATGAAGCAGAAGTGTCGGACTCTGTGGTATCTTTTATCTCATTGACAAGCTCACCAGGATATATCGTGTCGACGTAGGAATGGAAATTATCATTATTAATTGACAATACGTCGTCGATATATCTAAATGTCGAGTTGAAGGCCACAGCAAGTGTTTTCTTCTTTTCACGTAAAAGATTTTGCATAAATTCTGCTTCATATGAATATAAAAATAAGTCTGCTAATAACGGAGCGCAATTGGTACCCATGGGAATTCCAATAGATTGTTGGAATACCTGGTCTCCAAAAACCACATAGATATTGTCAATCAGAAACTCAAGCATCTTCTTGATGTCAACTTCAGAGTACTTATGTGTGCAATCAGAATCTGTTTTAACAAAATAATTTTTCAAATGACCATTGACGAGGTAAGTAAACTTATGAGTTTCATTTTTGTTGAAGAAGCAGCTGTCAATGATATCAAAAAGCCTGGATTTAAATTTGTCGTGGGGAATTGTTGTGTATAAAGTTGAAAAGTCGTAAGTTTTTATGCTGTTGATTTTTGTAAAGTCTTGTGATTTCAAATTGTCCAAAAGTTCTTTAGAATTTTTAAGTATCCACATCTGATTTACACCACTTCTTGAATATATAGTTGTACAGTACTCTTGAAGTTTTTCCTTCACTACTGTCAATATTTTAGTGAGAAGTAACGAAAGAGGCTTGGTTGAACATTTACTGGAACCTGCAATGTATCTTTGTTTGTAAGGATTCTTATGAAGTTTCGGAATCCAATATATATAAGGTAGTTCAAATTCATTTTGGCTCTGTGGAATATTAAAAGTTTTCAAAACTGACAGGTGATTTTGAAGAATTTCTTCCTTAGAAAGAGAAGTATATGTATAAGTAGGATTACCACTTGTAGAATTAAATCCAAGTTCTTCTAGAATGCAATTTATATAATGAGCCTTACAAACGAAGACAATGTTGTTACCTGCTTTGTCGGCAGGAACCAGTACGTACTGATCATGTAATCTATCTAATTCTTTTTTCACTTCTGGTTTATTGAACACAGAAGGATAGATGGTTTTCATTTTGCCCCTCAATCTTTTAATACGTGACTTTAACATGGATCTGATACATTTAATCCATTCTGACAAGGTGTCAATATCTTCTTTTTCATATCTAGCCCATCGTCTGGCGTAATTTTCAACAGAATCCATAATATTTATGAAATTCCGACGCCAGTTGAAGGATCGGGGTTCCCTATATTTAAGACCTTTTAAAATAAGTGATCTAAGGTCCTCATTACGAACTATTTTCACGTCACCTGTAATAACTTGTCCAGCAGGACTATAGTCATAGATATTTCTCTATCCTGTCTATTTATAGACATACCTTGTCAGAGAACTGTTGTAGATATTTCTCTATCCTGTCTATTTATAGACATACCTTGTCAGAGAACTGAAGTAGATATTTCTCTATCCTGTCTATTTATAGACGTACCTTGTCTGAGAACTGATGTAGATATTTCTGTATCCTGTCTATTTATAGACATACCTTGTCAGAGAACTGATGTAGATATTTCTCTATCCTATCTGTGTTGTGTGATAACTCACACAGTTGAATCAGGATTTCAAAGTCACAATATTTCTCGGCTAGAGATGCTGCTAATTCATACTGCTTCCCCTCCACTGTCAACAGAAAATGGTTATGATTTAAAAAATATACTTTGTTACATGTATTTCAAGTCAAGCAGGAGTTAAGCTTACAATACCAGTCTGATCATTATGTAGTGTCAGTACTGAATAATATATTTTTTCTGGACTTATAATATAGCTGATAATTATAAAATAAACAAGTACATGAATGTGTGTGTAAGTACAACTAGAACTGTCCAGTAGGGACAAATACCCCCGCTGGGTTTTTCAGAGTAGGTGCCAATTCAGAAATATTTTATGGATCTAGTAAGAGGTATTCACTATTGTCTAATAAAGTGCCTTGCCACAGCATGATACGCCCATCAAATATTGTTCGATAATCATAAATTGGTTAGGGTGCAAGAAAATTAAGTAACCTTGATTAACAGATTGACACAGATTTCAATGATCTAATTTCCATTTCTTATCATGTTTAAAATATTGTACATACATCTCTAAGAGACTTACAGTGTAGGGATTAATTAAAACAAATAATACATCATATAATTCTAAACTGGCTGTGTAAGAGCTTAACAAATATCCATCTGCAGCTTTAAATTGTTTATTGCATATTTTATGAAATAATGGAAATGCTACAGTCTAATAAAAAAAAAATCAAAAAATAATTATTCTTTAGACTATAAAATTCTAAGTGAGACATGACTGCAATTTGTTGCAAATATATAAAAAATTGAAATGTAATTTTTTTTTCTCAATGAACACATGTATAATTAATTTTAATTATATTATACAATACTAAATCAGTTTTAATCATACAATAAAACATCAATTTGTTTTAATTACATTACACCAATTGAAAGATTTTTATCTGAACTACAGCCATCAAGAACTCTTAATTAACACAAGCAACTATAAGGCCATTTCTTTTTGCCCAACTCCCAAGAGATAAATTAAGATTAGATCTAGAGTTGCTCTTGCCAGTTAACTCCTGACAATGAACTCATTAATTTCTCTCTAATTTGACATGCACATTTCTGCTATCAAAAATTCTCCTTGACCAGTGCTTGATAATTATGCCCATGGGACAAACTGAATTCCTCTCAAATCATTAACATTTGTTATAGAATTTGCTGTAAAGTATATGATAAAAAATAAGTTTTTACTTAATTTAGCATTTTTTAATAAGGATGCAACTATATTTTTACATTTTTTAGGATTATGAAATTTAAAACTTTAAAGACTTAGTTTTTTAAAAAAAAATCACTTAAATTAAAGGTCACAGTGACCTTGAAATAGGTCGCGACACACCGTCTACCCAAGATGCATAAATTGTCCAAGTTTGATGATTGTAAGTCTAATAGTTTTCTAGTTATGAGCCAAACAAAATCACAAAATAAAAAAGAAAAAACGCCTGTAAAATGCAGAAAAATCATCCAATCATGATGAAAATCCCAGGTGCACACCTTCATATGGTGAATAATAAGTGTATAAATTTTCAGACAAATCCATCCAACAGTTTTTGAGAAACGGTCCGGACAAAATCTTGTCTACAGACAGACGGACAGACAGACGGACATGGTGATTCCAATATACCCCCCTAAACTTCGTTTGCGGGGGTATAATTATTGAAATTTGATGTAAGAAGATGAATAAACATAACGGTTTTAATATAGCAGTAAAACATTAATATTCTTTTTCATTTTGTTTTGCTTCACTCTATTCTGTACACAAAACAAGAACTTACTGAGTGGCATAAT